TTTTTTGTTCACTGTTTAAGTCGAAAAATTCGACCAAGATTGTGGCTGTGCTGGCTCGCGTACAAGAGTAAAGTACCTTAAAGCAATTAATTGCTCCGCTCATTTTGGTGTCAAAATGTTTCTAGATTTAATTGCTCTAAGAATATAGCAAATCGGAATTTTTTGCTCACTGTTTAAGTCGAAAAATTGCTTTAAGGTACTTTACTCGTGTGCGCGAGCCAGCACAGCAACACTCTTGGTCGAATTTTTCGACTTAAACACTGAGCAAAAAATTCCGATTTGCTATATTCTTAGAGCAATTAAATCTAGAAACATTTTGACGCGAGCCAGCACAGCCACACTCTTGGTCGAATTTTTCGACTTAAACAGTGAACAAAAAAAATCGGGAATAGAGCAAAAAATTAGCAAAAAAATAGCCCTTCAAGAATGTGTACTTGATTTTTCATTTGCTGCTTTTTTTCTTTGTGGCTGTGCTAACTTTGGTTTTAAGCTAGCACAGCCATGGTTTTAGCGAATTGGCTGGAGCAAAAAAATCGGGAATAGAGCAAAAAATTAGCAAAAAAATGTGGTATAGGTCGCGTTTGATTGTGCTGAAGTGGCTGTGCCAGCTTAATAGACGTGACTGGATTCAGTATGTCAGGTGCTCTAAGTGGTTGCACGAAACCTGTAGTGACAATCTTGACATTTATCAAAACTGTTTAAATAAGCGCTCAAGAAAGTGATTACTTATCAACTATTGAGTCTTTCTATTAAATTTTTCTATTGAGTCTTTCTATTGAATCTTTTCTATTGTGACAGAAAAATTCATAATTGATTTTATTTCAAAAAATTATTTTTTCCAAATACCTGAGATTTTAATATTCTGAAATACAGTGCAATGATAGCTTAAATCAATTTAAGTATTGCTTTTTACTTTGTTTTCTTAAATGAGTTTAAAAAACACAGATCTAATTTCTGTTTTTATAATAGAAAAGTTTTTATTATACCTATTTAAACATGTATACTCAGTTCAAATTAAAAATCAATTTATTAATAAATGAGTTTCAAATTTAGTTTTGTTTATTTTCCCAGTAAACAAACTGACGTTGTTTACCATCATTTTGACGTTAAAGATGTTATTTTAATGTCAAAATGACAATAAGCAATGTCAGCTTGTTTGCTATATTAGAACTACGGTTTAGGAACCAGGTACAATTTAACGACCCGATCTCCAAATCGTACCGAAAGCTACTTTTTTTTTAAATCTAATTTAAATAATAATTTAATGTTTATTTTCGCAAAAGTATCGTTTTGTTTTATTGCCAATGAACCAAAGTTTAATATTAGTACAGAAATATTCTGATATCTTCAGTACTTTTGTTTACAATTTTGTTTAAACGTTAGGGGATACGATATAGGCAACTTCCTCCTACATATTAGACACTTAACTGTAAACACGGTATCTGCGAATATTTTTTTGTATTACACAGAAAAAAAGATTATTCTTAAAAATTAACCATAATATACTCAATACTCATATATAAGCAAAAATATTATAATCTTACTTTAAAGATTTTAGTCTTTATTGGATTGAATTTCTATTGATATAAGATTTTTAATTAAACAAGTCTTGAATTGAGTGCAAAGTAATACTTGCATTAAAATATCGAATCAAAATTAATATCATTGAAGTAAGAGCACAATATTTTTGCTTATGGTAACTCCAGCCAATGCGTCGCGCTGGGATTTATACCACAGAAGTCAGAAAAATAGAAGGAGTAGGGATAATTTTCCCGCAACTACTCTGTTACATGCCTTTATGTTATATTAATATTGTGTTATGATTTCCGCTTCTTACTGTTAATATTAATGAATTTATTGTGAGTTGAATCAATTTGTCACTGTAAAAAATAACGCCATCATAAATTATAACCTACATAAAATGATTAATGTAAGACGTGTAAAAGACTTAGTGGTTATTTCGTGATACATATGTGTAGTGGAATAGTAAAGCATGTTGTATTCGATAACATCATATTCTTATAATAAAGTAGTTATATAAGATGTAAAATGACACGATAACTCATAAAATATGTTTATAAAGTTTTATTAAGGAATAAGAATGATAAATATGTATATGAAGTAATAGATAATAATTACAATTTTCCTATACATATATTACAAGTGTTATTACATGAGGTACCTATTTCATGTAATGCGTTTATTGCATTTAGTGCACTGAATCCAATCTGAGTACTTTATATACTTTGGGCATAAATCCCTCCCGTTAAAAATGCCGTATATCCTAAACAGGTGGGATATACAAGACAACAAACTAAACAAAGAATATAAGAGCAAAACACTTGTATTTTGCTATACAACATACTTTACTATTCCTCTACACTTACATATCGCGAAATAACCACTAACTTTTACGCGCCCTACACTGAAAGAAAAGATTGGCTGCTGCAGCAAATTAGATGGTTAAATATGGCATAGCATTTTTAATTGGCTGTAGCAACCAATTTTTGATTGCGTTAGCCAATCGAAATCTTATACTGACATTGTGGATAAGCTAATACAACCAACAATTGACTGCAGCATCCAAAAATTGGTTGCTACAGCCAATTAAAAATGCTATACCATATTTAATCATCTAATTTGTTGCAGCAACCAATCTTTTCTTTCAGTGTACAGTAATCATTTTACGTAGATTATAATTTACGATGACGCTACTTATTACAGTAACAAATCAATTCAACTCACAATAATTTCATTAATATTGACAGTAAGAAACTGAAATCATAACACAATATTAATATAACATAAAGGCATGTAACAAAGTAGTTGCGGGAAAGTTACCTCTACTCCTTCTATTTTTTCTGACTTCTGCGGCATAAATCCCATCGCGGTGTATTTGCCAGAGTTACCCTAAATTAAGAAGATACTGGTAGCCGAACTCCGTTAGGATCACTGTCTTACCCATTAAACACTTACACATGTATGATTTACAACACATACATATGATTTATAATCATCGACATATCACTACATATGGTTACATCAATATTAAGTACACATAAATTCACGCAAATTTCATAAAGAATTTTTGTACCAAATTAGATATCTAATAATAAGTTTAATTCTACACTGAAAAAAAAGATTGGCTGCTGTAGCAAATTAGATAGTAAAATATGACATAGCATTTTTAATTGGTTGCAGCAGTCAATTTTTGGTTGCGTTAGCTATCGGAATCCTATACTGACATTGCAGATAGGCTAACGTAACCAAAAATTGGCTGCAGCCAATTAAAAATGCTATACCATATTTTGCCACCTAATTTGTTGCAGCAGCCAATCTTTTTTTTCAATGTAAGGACTCAATATTGTTTCTTCACGTAATCTGGAGACTCCAATTTCATAAGTGCAAATTGCAAAGCTTTTATATCAAATGTTGTTACGACTTGACAATTTTAGATACTATATATTGAAAACAGAAATGGTAAAGATCTCAATTAAAAAATTTTTTTCTTTTTCGGCATAAAGTCTATCCACATCAAACTAGTATTAATGCATATATTTTTATATTTTGCTGAAAAAGAATTTCCAAATACGTGTAAAAGTAATATATACAAAAATCCTTTACAAAAATTACATTTAATTGGTAAACCAGATGATGTTAGCATTGCTTTAAATTTTTGTTTATATAAAAAAATTTGGATTTAATGTTTAACACATTTTTCCAACAAATATAGATATAATTAAAAATTAAAAAATATAACGATTTATACCAACATAGTAAATAAAATTTATACTGTGTTAGTATAAGTCGTTATATTTTTTAAAATTAATCATACAAGAATATATATAATAATCACTTGAGTCATTTTGTCTAATGATTCTTAATATTGTCTTATTACAATAAATCAAATTATATAACTTGAGATGGTGTACGATTGATTGGAACAAATCGTGTACGGATCGGCTGTATAGCACGGTTTGTTAAATCCGTCATGAATTGAAGATCGTTTAAATAATCGATGGGTTCCAGATAAAAGTTATATATCAATGTCGCCATTATAGCTTTTAGTTCCATCATAGCAAATCGTTGTCCTATTATTTGTAAATATATTAAAAATTGTTTATATGAATAAATTAATATCTTATATACATTTAACATTACCTATACAATTTCGTTGTCCTGCGCTAAACGGTAAGTAGGAATAAGGATGACGTTTTTGAATTTTCTCTGACAAAAATCTATCTGGATCGAATACATCTGGATTTGGCCAGAAATTTGAATCTCTATGAATATCGCAAATATTTATATGCAAAACTGTTCCAGAAGGCACCAAATGTGTTTCTGAAAACATCATGTAGCATACGTAAATAAAATTTGTAAACAGTAAATTAGTAGAAAACTGCAAATGTGAGTCCCATATACGCGTGCACGAATACTCGCTTATATATAAATTATTTTATTAAAATGCACTTTTTTTACCATACAAGTTATTGATTTTGGAAAAATCTATTACACTTTAAATTTACTGTAAAAATGTTTGAAATTGACAAGTTCTATTTTGACAACATTATGTATATAAAATTGAAAATATTATCTTATGAAAAACAAAGAAAAAGGAAAAGAAAGAGAACTTATAAATAATTATTTTAAAAATTTGTGTATAAATTAATATTAAAATATTAGATAATTAAGGAGAGAATTATTTTTGCATTAACACTTATCTGATGATTTTATGCCTAAATGTGTGTATATATATATATATATATATACATATATATAAAACATATAGTTTATTACTCACGTGTTTGTAAATCTTCTGATAAAACTCGTGAAATGAAAGGAACGCTAGGATATAATCTCAACGATTCTTTCAAACATCTTTCTAAATATGGCATATTATTTAACGCTGACATGGTAAGTTTTCCTCCATTTGCTTCCATAATTGCACTAATTTCATTTCTGGCACATTCCTATTAGAAAATGAAGTTCTCTATGTTTGATGATGTTATTTGATTATTAATTAAAAATGCAGCAGTATTTATGTTTCCATAAACATGTAATGACCTTTTCGAGTTAAACACATAAAAGCAAGAGTGTATTTCTATGTTTATTTTTAAATTAATGTTTCTAACATTTTAAAAATTACTTGCTATAAATGAAAGATTGGTAGAATTAATCGATTGTGTTACGGGTTGAATAAATTATTATTAAAAATACCTGGACATCTTCGTGTTCAGCTAGTAATAATATTGCAAAAGTTAGACCCGCTGCTGTGGTATCATGTCCCTATAATAAAAAAATTATGTATTACGTACAAGTTATGTATAATTTATCACTAAGAAAATAATTTAAAAAATTTTTTTTTTTTAATTAATTTTCGCCTACTATTTTTGCCCACAAAAATCGAATATTAATTGAAGTAATTAACAATTATTAATTTCAATACATTAACTAATAAAATATTTCTATGAGA